CAAGGGACGGCGGAGATTAGCCTGGTGCAAATGTAAAGAAACTGTCTGTTCTACACTCTAGTTGTCTTCTTCTGAAACTGAGAGTCTGGCACAAGATCGGGAACGTAGGAAGCAGTGTCTGCACTTCTTCGTCGGCAACCCGAAATGAGAAGGGTACATTGAAGATGAATGAATGAATGAGGGTAAACTAAATTAATGAGTCTCGTGTAATGTGTCTGGCATAATGGTTGTGAAGACTTGCTACTATTCCAAGTTACTATTGTCTTATGAGTACAGATAGATATTTTCTTTTCCGTAACTGATGAAAATGTGCCTATCTGGCTGATACTCTTATCATGAATCCGTCGAAGTATAAGGTATCATATGCTTCAACTTCGGTGATGCTGCTTGCCAAAAGTCACAGATGGGATGTCACATTACGAAAAGATTTGTGTCACTCACAATTCGTCATCACTCTCATAAAGAATTATGATTGAAACGCCAATAAATGCAAAGTTTATTCTCGCGGTTCTCATTCTATTTTCACATGTACATACTAACATTGTAGTCATAAATTCTTCATCAAGTTTTATTCAACAAGGTTTCTCATTTTCATTATTCAAACTTCGTTTGAAGGCCGAAATAGAGCAAAACTACTAACGTACTACCTCTGCTAAACTATTAGCGCGTAGTGCTTTTGGTGCATCATTGCTGTTTTTTCTTTCATTGTTGAAGGAGTGTTTTCGTTTTTTTCTGATCAGAATTTGCATGTGGGGAGGGGGCTGTTGTCATCAGTCCAGCGATTTCAGTTGACAGATAACATATTTACGCGCACACACACACACTTGTAGCATATGGTGATGTTTGGCCCATTTAGATATCCGTAACTCCTTTATCTCCCTAGTTGAGGTTAGCCAGAATGTCAACGATGGAACTTGAACCAGTGATCCGGTAATTGACCGAGATCAGCTAGCGATAAGAGGTCACTGACATGGCCCTCGAATTTTTCGCGCTCACAAGTCTTAGTAGTTGTAAATATCTCAAAATCAGTTATCATGAAGTGCGATTATTTTGCTACAGTGGGCTAACACCATGAAAAAGTAAGTAGAGATTTTATCGTGAACTTTCTACTTTGCCTTTTATCAGGACTGCTGCTAGCCAAAAATTCTCTGCAAAAGCAAAAGCTGAGGGGTGTTATATTTGGTGAGGATAAAACATTTTTTACATTAGCAAAAATGTAAAATTCATCCATTGATTAATGGGATCAGTGAAACTTGCTAGAAAACGAACCAAGAGGAGATGACCAATAGAACTGTCGTTGCAGGAAGTGTCCTGAACTGAACATGTCAAATTTTATCACATCTACGAATTCATCGCAAACAAACAGTTTTCAAGCACCCTATGAGCTAATGATATCGTTTTTCATTTTCTCAGGGTGACGAATCCCACATGGTTAATTGTAGCTTGTCATTACCTATAATCAATTTTATTTGCAACAGTGAGCTGCATTAGGCACTGGTGTTGGACATTAGGAGAGAAGTTATACGTTTGGTGTCTTTTTTGTTAACACGATATGGCTTTCTCATCTCGCCCCTAGTTTGCGAACTAACTGTGACACAGCTGACTGATTTTGACACTTTCTCGCATTCCACCGAGCTAATTAACAGACATGTGATAGACCTCCAAAATATGATATGATAAGCATCTAAAGCTGAAATGGTGATCTAGGTATTCCATGACATTTCAAGATTGTCCACATCGTCGGGTGATACAGTGAATTAAAAGCAGCTTTAAGGTAAATGAAACTGGCAACAAGACCAACTTGAATCATTTGCACCGCTCAGTGATTTTACACATAATGAAAAATTTGTTAGGACAGAAGTGTCTCATCCAGAGACCCACTTGATCTTGACGAAGCCTGTCATCAACTGACTACCTCAGCTTTTCTCGAATGCTCCAGGAAAAAGTTTTCGTGCTGGTTGACAGTAGTGTGATATTACTATAATTGGAGCACTCGGTCATTCGACGCCCTTCAAACAAAAGGACAATTAATTCATAATTTCACCCTGCTGGAAACGTCTGAATGTCTACGTTTGATGAAATAGAACATCTAGCCAACCCAGTAACTCCGTGCTTAACTCTGGAGGAATTCGATGGATCCTCCAAGTCTCCTTCACCCTGATGTGTAGCAAGCTTGTTAGATTTCTTGTTATATGGGTTGATCGTTGCCAACCTGTGGTGTTACAGAGTATTTACGGACGGAAATGACGAATTTGAAGGAAA